CTGTACACACACATGTAGACATGGCTTTATAAAAATTTAAGCCAGTTTTTTTTAAATATCTTGTTACTTAGTCATATGCCTGAATGACCTGACATTTTAAAACTGAAGGGTATCTAATATATTTTTGTAAGGATGCCAAGAGATAGAATGACATATGGTTCATGTTCTTAACATCTTTTTTACATTCGTTTAGGCTTGACTATGAGAAAAACAGGGAACCTCAAAGCATTTACTCCCAATTTTCATTAAAGTATATCTTCAAGTAGATGGTCCAGGAAGTTCTTAAGGATGGGTTTATTTTTGCCCTTCAAGTTGAAGAATCTAATTCTTTACAATAACACACAATTCCTCACTGATATATCCACAGCATAACTCCTGCAGCCAAGCCTCAAGGATCGTTGTGGAAGAGAGGGCAGGAATATGGTAAGAGTCAGATGAACAGGCTGCTTTCTGTGAGTTTGTGCCTCCTAGAAATGCCAGATGTTACACCACTAAAGTCTCAGCAGCATGACTGCCTAAACATGAAATGAACAAGGGCAACCACAATAGATATGCTAAAATCGACAGGGGAAATACCATGAGGCTTCAGCCCTACAAAGAGTATAGGCTGTTAAAGAATGTTGAGGGTATGAGGAAAATCTTCTCCAGTGAAGAGCTCACCAAGTAGTTACCCCATATCAAATGGTCAGCACCAAAAACATGCATACAAGTAACATTCTACAGATTGAGAAGGGTATCGTTATATACTTAGGAATATATATGCATATACATGTATGCATTTACATGTGTGCATACACACATATGTGCACATGTACATAGCAACAATTATAGAAAAAGAAGAAGTCATGAATTCAAAAAAAGAGCAAAGGATGTTAGGTGGGAGGATCTAGATGAACGAAAGAGAAAGGGGAGAATGGTGTGATTTTATTATTATATAAAAATAGATAAATGGAATAGGGTTGACTCTTAGCTCTGATAAGGTCCCCTGTTCTAAGTGTGTGTGGTGGGATTGAGTAGGTAGTACTTTGTCCTAATGGAATAACTATAAATAAGCTTTATAGGTATGGACACATGCCAAGTATTAAGAATTTCTTAAAAGCATGGCGTGCAGACTATAGTCAACTAAAAGGATATAAACTCTGAAAAAATATTTTCCATCTGTACAGATAAAACTTAACAGCTATGAAATGAATGAAGAAGACTGTGATAATTAAATAATTAAAATAAATGGACACGATTAAGAGAAAGTAAGAGGTATATATTGAAATTTACATATTTTAGCAAATATAGTACCTATTTGCTGTTACTAGTATGTTTGCCATTCCCATTGTTCACCGGACTGGCACATAGATCCAGCCTCCATACATGTCCAACGTCAGCACGACCCTTTGATGGCCTGATTTCTGTTCCCTGCTATGATCTATTTCCCCTTTGGTTCTATTAATTCACAAACGTGGTGCAATATGTTACATCAATCATCTGATAGGCTGGGTTCCTGTCCTTCTTTATATGCATGATTCTTCTCACTGTTAAAAACAAAAAAAGAAAACAATAACAAAAGAATGAAAGCAAAAATGCTTGTGTAACAAACAGAAAACAGCACTCTTCTTTGATTAGTCACAAACCCAAATACCACAAAATTAACTGTGGTAACATGTCAATCAATGCCCTGGATTCCTTTAAGTTGTGACCCTATAAGTCTAGAGGAAGAGTATAAAGTTCATACTAAGAACAATTAGTGAGCATTAAACCAGTCATTCATTATTTAGACCATGATATTTTGTGAAACCTTTTAAACAAAAATTTCAGACACAATACAACCACTAAAGCCACAATAAGTGGATCAACTCTGTTCAAACTCACCAGTAGTGAAAAGTCAATTTTTTTTGTTTTTGTTTTTTGTTTTGGTTAAATTCTGACACAGTGGGACAAATTGTGTCTAGCACGGAGCCAAGAAAGACTGTTCTTATAACTCTTCTTTGTCATCTGTCACTCAACCCCAATTTGCTTCATATGAATTATGACAAAGACTCAAATGATGATTTCAATTTTCCAAAGTCAAATATTAGATAATATTTAATTTGGCAAACAACATAATGACATATTTTTCTAGTCAAGACTCCAGAAAGGACAGCCTTCTCTACTGTATTCCCCTTGCTCTGATCTCGTCCAAACCACTGTTAGAAGGCATTCTTTGTATTCTTAGTTAGCTTCCCTTGACCCTTTGGGGTTGTTGTGAATATTTCCCCCTAAGGATTTAGGGACATTTCTTGGCATGGATAATTGTCCGCATCTTTCCTGGCTTGCTATCTGGTGTAAATGCATGTGACCTTTAGGCCAGTTGTTTTTCCATACAGACTGTTTTTGTAACGAAAGAATGTATCTTGTAAGCATGCCCAAGAGGCGTTGCTAATAGGACCTTCACATAAACACTTCAATATCTTATCTTTGACTCCTGTTTATGTAAAATGTTCTGGTTTTTAGATGGAAAGTCTAATTATTAAATTTGATGAAAAAAATCGAATCTTATAAATAATTGCTAACTTTAACATTATTTGAATTTTACTTTATTAGAGAAAAATCATATAAAATTGCCATAGTTATGGTAAAAAAAAATAGTGCTAATTTTACATTTTGACCAAGCAGTTTTTTCTTTCCTAGGAGAGCCAGAAAAAAAAGTTAAATGCTCAGCTTGAAGAGAAAAGACAAGCCCTGAAGGTCTGGCCCAGTCATTCATCAGCTGTGTGATGAGGACCATGCGTGTAAGTTTACTTGGGCCTCAGTTCCTTCAGCTGAGAAGCTGAGCATTCATAGTTTGCTCTGAACCACATTCTTGTGAATATAAAAGAAATGGTACATGGAGAAAATACCCTAAAGACCACAGTAAAGACACTGGGAATCATTATATTGGATCAAAATGACATTTCGTTTCTCTTTTCTCTCCGGATTTCTTTCTCTTGTCTTTCCTGATGGGTGAGTTTGATCTTGTTTGTTGACTTCTTGTGCGTGCCTGACTTACTAACTGGCCTTGGGAACTTTATTTTGTGTTGGACTGTGGGCATTAGGAGTTCTATGGAATAGAGTTACTGGCCCCTTCTGAACAAGAAAGTCAGCTTAGGCAAGCATGTTTCACAGCTTACATAGCCAGTAAAATGCAAAGATTCAGTCACCTTTTCCACTTGCTGGCTCTTAGGAGGGCATTTAAAATTAGTATGCCTGTGCCCAAACTGATAGCATTGAACCAAAGCTGCCATGCAGAAGGAAGTTTAATTCACCAAACATTTCTTTAATAATTAATCTCTAGCAAGTACGCATTGCACACAATGCTGGTCAACAGGACAGAGCTAACCTCCAGTAGTCTACAGTATAATATACATACTTCTATGTAGACATGTATGCTCCCTGGGTTTGTCACAAGTGCCCCTACTTTACAGACAAGAAAACTGAAAGAGAATCCCTGATTCCGTGTGTGAGGTTTCTCTAAACAAAGAAAGCAAAACCCAGAAGTTTTGTCCTCTGAAATATTATATGCTGAACAGAACTCATTTCCTGAAAGATGTGTGCTCTCCTGGCAGAAATGACAAATGAATTGGCAGATCCAGTGCCGAGGAAATATTTGGCCCCTTGTTTTAAAATTAATAAAAATTTAGAACAAGTATGTAGCCACACCATGTTGACTCAAGAGTGGGAAGTCTGGCCCAGCAACAGGACAACAAGCCTGGACTGACTCAGTCTCAGTCTACCCTCTGCCTCTGTACCTGTGCCCTGTGATTCTGAGTAAGGGAGCACGGTATGAAAAGAACAGTAGTGCTCAGTCTGCTTATCATGTCTGCCCGGTTGCCAGCGGAGGGATCCTGAGGCCACGAGGCATGTGGCAGGACGGCAGAGCACTCTGGTTGCAGTCCTGTGAAATAAATGAGAAGTACCAACCACTTTTTCGCGCTATCAGGAAATAGGGCAAAGAAACAGGAAGCTCTGGGGACTCCAGGCACCCACAAAGAGGGAATCACCTTGCCCACTTCATAACGGTGGTCAAAACTATGAAATTTTTGTGCCTTTTTAGCTTGGAGGAGTCCACAGAAGAGATATCTAAAACGAACCGGCCTAACTGGCTACTCCAATGCATTCTGTTTCTGAAAACTGTACCCAAAAGTAATCCCCAGCCTTTTCCCTCGGTAAGTAACAAATGCCTGTGATTATTTCTCAGACCTTAGCGACCTCCTCAGTGTAATCCCTATGATTCGGGTCAAGCAAACCATGTGTTTACTTGAATATAAAACTGATGTAGCCCGAGAAAAGACCAGGTGTGTTTCCTGTCTGAAATGGTAGTTTGGCTCTTCTGGGTGCTATTCAAGGGACCTACTGGGATGTGTCCACTGTCATCTCTTGAGATTGTCATTTTAGATAGTGCCTCTCTCCTTAATCCCTAGCCATCTGATGTACTTTTTTATGTCTCCTGAACTTAAGCACCGAAAATAAAATGGATAGGATCTACAGTTCTAACAGCCTCTAACACTGGCAGGGTGAATGTTCAGATGCCTTCCAAGGATTTATTTTATAGTTCCCTTAGGATTTCTACAAAGTAGTTTAGTTACTGTATGCTTAATACAGAAGTCACCAAAAATGTGAAAAAAACAAGGAAAAAAATGAAATCAGCTATATACTAAACATAAAGTGTTTGCTGTTCCTTACTACTTAAATGTGTGCATACACATGGTAAGAAAGAATGTGTCTTGGCTGCTTTGGGACTGTATACAATAATTTCAATTAGAGGGTTCTCAAAATGTCTTTGTTAAAAAGTGTTTCCTGCAAAATGAATCATCTGCTGTGTGTCTTGACTCTTCCAGAGTTCCTCTGCATGACTTGGGGATTTATCTGAATAAATTACCCCTGCCTTTTGAATTATTAATCTTGGCTGCATGATATGCAAATCAGACTGCCCTGGCCATGTCTAGCGACACAGCACTGGGTCAGAAGCTGTCTCCAGCTCCTGGCAGGGTTTCTGTCAAGAGAGAGGCCGTCAGCAGAATGGTAAGGGACTCTACAGCCTCTGCCTCCCCAACACACTAAGGGAGGGCAGGCTTTCTGGTGAGGGCTACTTTTCAAAGTGGCCTGTGACCTGAAGGGTGCTCAGGGAACTGCTCTTAAGCAAAGGTGAAGAAGCAAAGGGACAAGACTGTCCCGTCTGACTGTCGCATCTACTTTCTATGACTTTAAATGCACTGATTTAATGGCTAAATACTACATCTATTTTACTTTAAGAGGTCTGCTGTATTTGATAATGTCTCAAAAAATAATTACAAAGATTTGAATAAATACAAGTATTTACAGAAAGGGGGAGCAATCTTTTATCATGAAAAATAATTTACAATGTAAATTTAAAGAAAAATATAATCATTACAAACTTTAAATTTTGTGTTTACTGTAGCAAAATGAGTATATATAAGAGTAAGATATACTAAAGAAAATGGTGGGTTGCAGAAGCAATTGCTTTGGAATGTTACTCACCAGAACATTCTAAACTGTATAATCTATTCTCTAACAATCTAATGAAAAATGTGACTACTTGATACAAACTAGAATTTTTAATGCTTTGGTGTTATTTGTGGAATATAGAAAAGTAAAGCAATTAATAAGTAACAAATGCTTGTGTTTTTATACATACAAAGACAGTTCCATTTGCGTTGTTTAGTAATGAAAGTAGCTTGTTGTAATGTCTTCCTGACGATGCAACTTTCCAGGGTCAGCTGAAATTTTAATTTCTGTTAGGCTCTCTGTAATGATCAAGGATATAGAATAACATCTTTATTAGAATAAGGGGATTTTTATTAATGTCAAATTTCAAAACTTCTAGTAAAGAACACACATTATTTTCACATTTAAGAGTACTGATTTTATAATGAATTTTCTATCGTTTCAAAATAAAAGTGAGTGTTAGCAATTTTCTCATTTGAGTGCACTCTGTTTGTGGCTTATTAGCTCTAGCAGACGTTACGCGTGGGGGCTAGGAACTAGCGATTGCACGTCAGTGGTCAATGTGTTTCTTAAAGAAAATGCTGTGCCAATAGTTCACCCTGAGAAGCAACAACATGTTAGTCAGCACGCCCATCGCCTAAAAACAGGATGGCTTCCGGGAAATGGGAGAGAGGCGAGTAATACTCCACGGGAAATGCCCCCTTGCATTGGGAGTTTTGCTTAAATGAACACACATTACTTCCATAATTTATATAATTATGTGGTAAGAAAAACACTCTCCAATAGACACAGCACTGAATTTTGAACACAATGTTCTCAAAATAGTGTGTCCTCATGAAGTTAAAGCAACTTACATGTATTGCACAGCCTATCTCTAGAAAACCATACCTGCTAGTGCTGTGCATGTGGAAAGGGCTATAAAAATACTAGAACTGATTTGTTTCAAAATTTCCCTGACTTTTTGCTATTTGTATTCACTGTATTACACAATTAATTCACACTTTATCCACATACTTTTTGTTTTTGTTTAATTATTTCTTGTCCTTTAGATTATAATTATCCTTTATATATCCTTTAGAATATATATATATATACTTTAGATTATAATTATCCTTTAGATTATAATTATCCTTTATATATCCTTTAGAATATATATATATATATATTTTAGATTATAATTGTCCTTTATTTTTTTTGGTTTGCTTGTTTGTTTTTTGCTTTTGTACTCTCTTTCAAATTCATGGCCTCTTTTATTCATTAATTGCTGTTACATGCATATAAATATGTACATGCATATATACACACAAATACAATCTATTCAGTCCATATAACGTTATTTACAAAACACCTCCTGTAACAAAGGAGTTTTTTTCTTTCAAAACAAAAAATTTCTAAGAGGAAATTGTGGAAGAGGGGCAGGAAGACTGTAAGGTTGTAAGATCAGGGAGCTTCCTGTGAGACTGTGTCTCCTAGTAATGACAGAAGCTGCAAACACAAATCGCACCAACATGACTGCCCAAACTGAGCTGAACAAAGACAACAACAATAAACATGCTGAAGTAGGTGGGGGAAAGACCACGAGGTCTCAACCCCAACAAGGAACTACAGCCAACTAAGGAATGCAGAGAGTGGGAGCAATAGTTTTATCCTGGAAAGAGCAACTGCTTATCCAAAACCACACAGTCAACCTGAAAATAAACACTTTCAAAGTTAGGATGTTGTAGTGAAGGGTGTTTGTTCTTAAAGCAAGATTTGCTCTAGGAGAAGCTATACAAAGGTATAAATGAAAGTCATCAATTAATTTAGCCATTTATTTTCTTTAGCTGGCCCTGGAATTCTCTGTTTTTACTAAACCCTCAGTCTCCAGGCTCTCTGGATTACTAGAAAACACAATTCTCCATCACTTCACCTTGGCTCCTGACTGCAGACTGGTAGCTCCTGGCAGCCGGGCATCTAGTTGCGTATGTCTTCGTGAATACATTTTCCATTTCATTTTGTGATCCATACAAATTACACAAACCTGTGGCACTTCCTCAGCGTAAATGGCATCCGGTATAATCAGAGAGAGAGAAAGAGGAAATTCAGAATAAAATAAATGGGTTCCCTAGCTTGAAGGAAACTTTCCTTTGTCTTAATTTTCATTTAATGTATGTACCAATGCTTCAGTATTTCCCACATGACCTAAAGATCACAAACTGAGTCTTGGAGATCTCCAGTATTGAAGTCAAGACAAACAAGGATTAGGGACAAAAAAAAATATTGTCAGATAAAGAAAAGGAAGAAGAGTCTGTAGTGTTCTAGAAGTCAAGGAGAAAAAGGCATCCACACTAATGGCACTGAGAGCTACCGCAATGGGTCTAACAGTGAGAAGTGTTTGCCATCTAAGGAGCTATGCATGTTAGTTTTTTCAGAAACCCATGTCCCCCTCTACCTTTTTTTACTTGTTTATGTTTTTGAAAATTTCACACAAGTACTATATTTACATCATTTCCTCCTTTGTCTTCCTCCCATCTAACTTCTCCTGTGTTCTTCTACTCCTCAAAATTTTCTGTAACTTTTGTTACAGACAGGCATGCATATACACAGAGAGACACATATTTAATAAATACATACGTACATAATGTACATGTATATACAACCCACCATTAAGCCCATCTAGTGCTGCTTGTAGACACACATGCTCAGCAGTGATCACTTGGGATTCAATAACATCAGGAGCTCATGCCTAGAGATGACTGATTTTCCCCTCTCCATCTCGGTGAGCTCAGGGGTAAAGGCAGCTGTCTGATGGTTGTGGTGAGCAGGATGGAGTAGCTGGAAAGAAGTCTGGAAACTGAAAGAAACATGAAATTGAGAAACGTAATAAGGGCTTCCATTCTCTACAAAGGAATTAAAAGTGAAAACACAAGGCTGAGCTCTCCGGCTGTTTGTGGGAGCATCAGACAGCGATGTGTAAGCATGAAGGCCTGAAGTGAATGCCCAGTGCCCATGTTAAACGGGGGGGGGGGGGGGAGAGGGCATGGACAATCCCAAGTTTGGAGAGGCAGAGACAAGAGGATCCCTGATGCTATTTAAACAATTGTCGTAGTTGACTGGCGAGCTTCCAGTGCAGAGAGAAAGCATGACTTGAACAGTCAAGTGGTGAGTGAAGAAATATATGCCATCCTCTGGTTTCCACATGTACAAATACCTGTGTGAACACAGATGCACGCATCCACATGCATGTAGACACACCTCATAAGAGCAACGGTAAAATACTGAAGTTATCTACAAACTTGGGATGGAATTTCACAAATAAAACCTGCCAAAATACCAGAAACCAACTTCAATGAAATCTAAATTTGACAAAAGTAGATATATTTTCTGTGTATCTTTCTCATAGAAAGCTTCGCTGAAATAGGTCAGGGTATTTGTATTTGTAATGAAATAATTCTTTCACTGTAACTAATTTTATTTTCAAACTTGTTTTTTCTATTAGAAATAATTAGGATCCAATATTTTAAAGTCTCTACATACTTTCAGATGATTCAAGTCTTTGCAATATTCTAACTCCGATGTAGCCTTATTGCCAGAGAATGAAGACAAGTTATCAAAATATTTGAAGTTTGAATTCGTATTCAGAGAGTCTTACTACTATGTTTTATTAGTTGGTGTGGTGGTTACTTTTAAAAGCCAATGTGACATGACCTAGAGTTACCTGACACAGATTCTCAATGAGAGACTGTCTATATTATCTGTGGGCGTGTTTGTGGGAGATTGTCCTATTTAAGTGATGCTGGAAACCCAGCCCACCATGGTCAGTACCATTTCTTAAACAAATGCTTGAGCTGTAAAATATGTGGAGAAATCCAGCTGAGACAATGAGTACGCATGCGTTCATTTCACTCTACTCTTGTCTGCGAATGTGATGTCGTTAGAAGGCTTCCACGCCTTGATGGACTGGGAACTGGAACTGTGAGCTACAATAAACTCTCCCTAAGTGACTTTTTGTCAGGGCATTTTATTTCAGCATCAGACATGAAACTAGAAACGTTAGGAAGGTGGTCTCTGCGAGGACTAAGTCTGGATATGGTGTTCTCAAAATTTGGATGCTGGGACCTAATTGTAGGGAACGGTAGAGCTTCTGTGAATGCAGAGGACTTTGTCCTCCTGATGCAGATCATGGCTTTGTAACAGAGGACGAAGGGATCTGATGTGCTCTTGCCCTTGCCGGGAGAATAGCGTGACTCGCCCCCAGACAGTGAATCTGCTTGCACTTTCGTCTTACTTCCCTAACTGTGTGAGGAAGTAAAATAGTTCTATTATTTCTAGAATGCCCATCACAAGATATACTGGTCTAGCCACTGGAATTGACTAAAATAGGGCAATACTGAAGCATCTCCACTTCAGTGGAATCGTGTCTCAGATGGTTCTACTACCATCCCCTACTTCATATTTTTATTAATATTAAATGAAGCCATCCTTGGAAAGAGGTGAACACAGTGCCTGGTTACACTGTTAGCTTTCAAGACATTGTGGCCATCATTATTATTTCTAAGGTTTTCAGTATCCTGTTTTAAATCTTAAGACACTATATTTTAAGGTGGACTAAGTAATCTGTTCTAAGTTCAATAAAATAAGAAAAATTGTTTACTATGTACAACCAGCTAAAAACTATTTAAAAAGACAACAGTATCCAACAACCCTATTCCCTTTCCTGGGTTAGAGCTCAATTCAGTTTTACTCAGCAGAATGTATAAGAATCTGTGTCTGGCCCTGAAGATACAAAGATGAGCTGGAGTCCTCTCATTGCTTATTTGGTTGCTTTCCTGTTTTTAAGCCCACTTTTTATTTCCATGCTGAGCTCTGGCACATGTTGCTCCTCTGTCTGGAAACAACTCTTCTTTAGGTAAAGATCTGGTTCTTATTTCCAGACAGTGAGTGACACTCCATCCTCAAACTTGCTCACATTTTCATTGTACTTACGATTTTTATCTATCTATCTATCTATCTATCTATCTATCTATCTATCTATGTGTGTGCACAGTTGTGCTTGAGCGTGCACATGTGTACATGAGCAAGTATATGTGTGGAGGTGAGAGAACAAACTTCAGGAGTCATTTTTCTTCTTCTAACATTTTAATTATTACCTGCTTTAATTCATATCTCTAACACAGCATCCTGTGTATTTTTCCCTGCTTCTTCCTAGGAAATCATCCATTGCCTGTCATTAGCCACTCTGCTTTCTTCTTTGCTATCACACCCAGTGATAAGGATGCAGTTTGAAGATGCTCAATGAAGCCTTGATGAAATAATATAGTCACGTGCTCATGTAATGTATGTGTTTGTATACAATGTGCTAATGTCTATAAACATGTGTTTTTTTTTTTTTGAGACAGGGTCTCACTGCATAGCCTTGGCTAGTCTGAAATTCACTATGTAGACTAGGTTGTCCTGGAACTCACAAAGATCTGCTTGCCTCTGCTTTCCCAGCCCTGGTATTAAAGGCATACCTCATCATACATGACTAATGTATGTATTCATCATCAGCTCTCCACAGTTAAGTGTTAGATTGTTCAATTACTCTTCCACCATTTGTCCTTGGACACAGTCTAGTGCTGAATCTTATATTTCCTTTCTGCTTTAGTCACAGAATACATCTTGTCAGAACTGGCTGGCTGCAGAGAGCATCTTGAAAAAGTACTACCTCTCCACATTTTACGGGATTGAGTTCGTTGTCGGGATGCTCGGGAACGTCACAGTGGTGTTCGGCTACCTCTTCTGCCTGAAGAACTGGAACAGCAGCAACGTGTATCTCTTTAACCTCTCCATCTCCGACTTTGCTTTCTTGTGCACGCTTCCCATGCTGATAAGGAGCTACGCCAATGAGAACTGGATCTATGGAGATGTTCTCTGCATAGGCAACCGCTATGTGCTTCATGCCAACCTGTACACCAGCATCCTGTTTCTCACTTTTATCAGCATCGATAGATACCTGCTCATGAAGCACCCTTTCCGAGAACACATTCTGCAAAAGAAGGAGTTTGCCGTTTTAATCTCTTTAGCTGTCTGGGTCCTGGTGACCTTAGAAGTCCTACCCATATTCCCTTTCATTAACTCAGAAGGGACGGACAAGGACACCAGCTGCAGAGACTATGCAAGCTCTGGAACTCCTAAGTACAGTCTCATTTACAGCCTGTGCCTGACTTTGTTGGGCTTCCTCATTCCTCTCGCTGTGATGTGCTTCTTCTATTACAAGATGGTAGTCTTCCTAAAGAGGAGGAGCCAGCAACAGGTGACTGCCGTGCCCCTGGACAAGCCTCTGCGCCTGGTGGTCCTGGCGGTGGCCATCTTCTCTGTACTCTTCACACCCTACCATATCATGCGCAATGTGAGGATCGCCTCGCGCCTGGATAGCTGGCCAGAGGGATGTTCGAAGGAAGTCATCAACTCCTTATACATTGTGACCCGGCCTCTGGCTTTTCTGAACAGTGCCATCAACCCCATCTTCTACTTTCTCATGGGAGACCACTTCAGAGAGATGCTGATTAATAAGCTGAGACAGTACTTCAAGTCTCTTACGTCCTTCAGGTCATGAGCTGCTGGGTGCCAGTCTTCACTCAGCCAAATTGCTCTGCAGCTGAGTAAGCACCAAGTAAACCACAGTCTCGAGGGTTTAGCTCCCTGCCACACACAATGCTGAAGTAGAAAAACTGTGCCTGGACACCCAACTAGTCTGGTTGAATAGGTACATATATACCAGAGGAGCAACTATCTGTCCTTCTTTCGGGTTGTGCTCAAAATATGGGAAAATATGCATCAAAAAGTATTGATACCATCACCTAAGAACTGAAGAAGGTGAACTAATGGTGTCAATGCTTGGGCACTTAAGAGCCAAAACCTTGGAACTTTTAAGAACTTTTCTATCAGTGTAAAAGGAATAAAAGATGATAGATAGATAGATAGATAGATAGATGATAGATAGATAGATGATAGATAGATAGATGATAGATAGATAGATAGATAGATAGATAGATAATCATGCTGCATTCATTGCATAATTGGCCAGGTGATAAACATGTTTAGGAAGTATTCTCTGCTATTTTTATTCTTGCAATATGAAAACATTATGTGAAAAATAAATAGAACTCAATATACACCATTAACTGTTATTTTTAGAAGTTATTTTCTTGAAAAATGTAAATAACAGCAAAGCTTAGTAAAGCAATATAATTAGTTTTTCTGTACTGATCATGAACTGTAATTTATCATTAATGAACCAATCCTTTTCTTTTAGATGGGCTGTAGCAAATAAGGATCTTAGTTTAGGTTAGTGGGATGTAAAATGTTCAACGATAGGTATGTTCTAATTTGGCTCTCACGAAATTTGTCCATGATGAAAGTCCATAGTAAATTTACTCAAATATTGAAGACACATGTGATGAACAGATTCAGAAATTCCACCATTATAGAACTCTACATATGTTGGAAACTCACAGCAAAATAAAGCACACCAAGATGAGTTCACTGTTTCTTTGACAAGCATGCTGTCTGGAATTTTTGATGTCCAAAACACAGAAATATAGTAAAAGTCCCCTCCACTTCCATCGTCCTGAAGCAAAGAACTTTAAAGCACATTATTGGGGCCGGAGCATAGCATGAAGAGCACTTGCTGCTCTTGCAGAGGTTTCAGTTCAGTTCCCAACACCCAACACTGAGCAGCTCCCAGCTCCCTGTAACTCCAGCTCCGTGGGAGCCGATGCCACATTCTGTGTTCCTTGAGCACACCCACCTGCACTTGCTTCACATACAAACAAGCAGGCACGCACATACTCAATAAATACATCTATCAAAGAAAACCAAATGATTAATTTCAGAACCTAGCAAACAAGTGGCAAGGAACTATCCATTCCATGTTCATTGGGTAGTTTCCTTGAACGTAGCCCTGCGCCCGTGCGCCCATGCGAAATGTCTGAGGGTTATTTTGCAAAGAACAGAAATGTCAGTCAGAGAGCGCGTCCTCTCTTCTTGGGTTTATGCTCCCTTAGGCTTATGTCTTCACTCCTGAACTCTTCACATAGTTTCTCACAGTCCTCAGATTTCACAAACATGTTTTTTTTCATAAGAAATGTGACTAAATTTTACTCGTTAAACCATTAGCTGAATCACTTCCCCCTAGAAGGGAATAGGCTTAAAAGTAAAAGATAACTCTAAATCCTTTACTAGCTCGAATTCCCAGTCAGATTTATAAGAAGGGAGAAAAAAAATCTCATGGTCATACTCCATCGTGCCCATCTTTTGTTTCTAGAGTATGTGTCTATTCAAGTTGCTTGTTTTTTTCCCCTTATATAAGTTTTGAAACCAACTTCTGCAATTACTTTCAACAAAAACCAACATCTGCTTTTCCCACCACTGGCCTGGCAGAACGTGTCCCCAACCTTCATGAGTCCCTGCCGTAGATCCTAACACGCACACTATTGAAGACCAATATCTGACCTCCTGATCACCTCCCATCTCTTCAGCATAGGCATACCCAGGAAAAGTAAATTTGTTATTTGTATCAAACCTACTTACCTGCCCCAATATCTTACCAAAGGATTTTTTTTTTTAAGATAGAAAGGCAAGGGTACCCATAAAAGAAATTGTTGCCTGAAATCCAAAGGGATTTGAAATTTCTTCATCTCTCAGATTCTTACTGTTTGAGGAGAAATGTTTAAAATACTGTCCTACTCATGGCCATAGGGAGGTAAGGAAAGAAACTGAGACAGGCGTGCGGACAAAACACAGGAATGATGGGACCGCAGTCTAAGACCGCATGAAGATGAAGTCCAGTCACGTCAGCGACACTGGTAGTGGAATGGAGCACGTTCCCTTCTCAGTCCCCACCCCTGTCAAATGTCATTAGCCAGAGGCATATTCCATCACGCAGTAAGGAATATGAGCTGCTGAGTATTGAGTGCATCGGGTCAGGAACAATAAGGCAAATCATGCACATCCATAAAGACAAAGAAATTTTTACTTAGACCTGCCTACCATCCTGAGACGGTCTTTCTTCTGTTTCTTTTCTTTTTCTTTTCTTTTTTTTTTGGAAACTAAATACATTTTAATAGAAAACAAAATACAAAATAACTCTTTTCAGAAAACAGAAATATTTAATCCTGTCCACACCATCAGAACTTCCTCTGTCCTTAGAGCATGGTTTGACACTTGTGAATGCGCGCTCATCATTCGCTCTGGTTCACTGAACTGAGATCTGGAAGCAATCCACACCCAAGGTTTCCCAGGTGACGTCTCGGATGAGATTCACAGGTGAAAATTCGTATAGAAACCCTGCTGTGGTGTTAGGGTTCAGTTCACTTTCTAAACCTTGGTGATTAGTAACAAACCAGACGTTCTCTTCTTTTTCTTTAGTTTGGCTTTCTGTGAGAAACTTCCTTTTCAGAGCCTTAGAGGGAAAGACGTATTAGTGGTCAGAATTCATCCTAAATATTTAATCCAAATGATGGCGCTGCACTCAGGCGGGACTTTAACGTGTGCCAGGCGTGGCTCATGGGAACTCACAGAATCTGAGACAACTACAAGGGAGCCTGCCTGGAACCGACCTAGGTCCTCTGCATATATGTGATGGTTGGGTAGCTTGGCCTATATTTGGAACTCCCAGCAATAGGAGCAGGGATGTCCCTGGTGCTTTGACTGGCTCCTGGGAACCTATTTCCAAGATTGCCTTGCCCAGCCTGAATTCAGGGGGAGGTGCTTGATCTTATAACAGCTGGATATGCCAGGCTTTTCTGAAATGTGGAGGTCGGAAAATGCAGGCCCAGCTCGGACAGTGAAGGCATAATTGCACCTGCTATCTCAGGAAGTGGTTGTCTGGCTCCTTTGAAATTAAGATAGCGCAATGTCATCCTGAGGGATGGTCAGGATATGCAAATAAATGTACTTCTGCTCCTTCTATGTAACTATGAGGTCACCCAGGGAAGGGCCTTCTTCAGCAGACGTGACTTAGAGCGCCTTAGCTGCTTAGACAACAGAATGCTAATGATTTGCTGTCTCAGAGTTGACTGTCTGAGTTATCCTATGTATCATGTTAAGAAAGTCTTTTGTTACCTTCTCCCCCATTTATGTTGGGTATAAAAGTGAAAAAAATAAACATGGAAATTTCAGGATTTCAATCACTGGAATGCCCTCCCAATACTCTCTCTGTTTTCTGTCTTATTATTTTTATGGTGTTCATAGTCTTTACTTAAATTTCTTCAATTCCCACACCCCTACCCTGTAAGAAGCATTTTTGTTGAGGCTGGTCCTCGACACTGAAACCCATGAGAGGTAGTCCCCTTTCTAAGAAATTACATAGGAGGAGTAGATGGAGGGGGCAGAGGAAAAGAATGGGGAGAGATTGGGAGGAGAGGAGTGAAGGGAAGCTGTGGCCAGGCTGTAAAATAAGTAAACATATACATACATACATTTAAAAAATAAAATAAGAAAGTACGCCAAGTTCTGTCACTTTGCATACTTTGTATACAAACTATCATCAAAGTTGGTGGGAGGGTTAATAGATCCAGAAACCCGAGGGTGGAGTTTAGTGGTGCCTTAGGGTCATATGGCTGAAGTTGAGGGACCATGATCTTATACAAACTCACCACACGGCAATGGTAATGAAGGCATAATACTTTCAGGTCAGTTTCACATCAACTGTGAGGATGTTGACTTTGAAGAGCATCCCATAATTCACCTCAGTGAAATCCGCTGATAATAAAACTCTGGACGAAGACTCCAAAACCATGTGAGGATGTGCTCCTATCAGAGTCAGTTCAGGTTCACAGGCAGAATAGTTCTTAACCTTCCCATAGAGGGTGGAACCAGTAATAACATTTTTACAACATAAAATAAGTTTTAGGAAATGTATTCTATCTAGATAGAACTTTCTGTCCTAAATAATGACTAGCTATGTAATGTTTGTATAAAGCAAGGGTCTTAAGTAATGCAATCCTGCCATATGGCACAGTAAGCCCTGTTTTAGTAAGATTTCCAGGAAATCCATGAGTTATGGTCATAATCTCCCATCCACTAATCAAACAAAAAAAAAACCCCATTTAATTAGAAGACATGCTTTTATTTGCTTTCTATTGAAAGTAACTTCATGTTACATCACAAAATTTCCAGGGCTACTAGCTCTAGCTAGAAAAATAGCGATTGGACCTGGTTTCTGAAGAAGGTAAATTATTTCACATCAACTTTCATGTCTCATTGCCCCCCCCCCCAAGTGGGCCAGTAAGTAAAATGTACTGCTACAGTGTTATATTTGCCCCATTCTTACAGAGGAAAGAAACAAGGAATATTCTGTGCTTAGTTTCTGGCTTTGCTACATAAACACACTAGTCCTGTCCCAGTCCTATGCCCAGTGTGCTACTGATGAAACAGGGCCTTAAGAGATTTCATAAAGAAGTTTTCAGAAACAGGGCCAGAGTTGACTTTGAGTCTTAGATCTGCCTGACTTCCACACAGGCCAGAATCTTGCTCTAGGATTTTATTTGAACACGAACTCCCCACGGCATTTCCTTGTGAAACACTTTCCAAATGACCACTTAATCTAGAGAG